ACCCTAAACCCTCAAACCCCTCAAACCCCTCAACCCCTAAACCCTAAAACCCTAAACCCTAAACCCTCAACCCGCAACCCTAAACCCTAAACCCTAAACCCTCAAACCCCTCAACCCCTAAACTCCTAAACCCTAAACTCCAAACCCTCAACTCCTAAACCTATAAGGTAACCCCAAAAAGGAACTACTATGGAGCCTATGGGTCTATAGCCCTAAACTCCTAAACCCAAAACCCTCTGGACAGACCAAGGCACCTGCTCCAGGCGCTCCTCCGCGCGTTGCTTGGCCCTGGCCTGCGACGACCCAGAGATCCCTAGGTTTTTCCTCTAAGAATCCCAGAGGTTAGGGTTTAGTGTTTAGGGTTTAGGGTTTAGGGTTTGGGTCTAGGGTTTAGGGTTTAGGGTTAAGGGTTTAGGGTCTAGGGTTTACGGTTTAAGGTTTAGGGTTTAGGGTTTAGGGCTCCTTCCTGCAAGGAACCCTAGGAGTCCCTTGTAAGGAGGAACCCCTTTAAGCCCTTAGGGTATCTGTATAGGAACCCCTTTAAGGCCCTTATCGAGTACCTACGTAGGAACCCCTTTAAGGCCCCTAGAGTACGTATATAAGAACCCCTCTTAAGGCCCCTAGATTACCTAAAGCCTCAAAGTCCCTACCTAGAACCATTGAAGGCCTCAGTGTATACTATATAATGTCGGGGCCAAAGCCTAAAATAGGGTTTTGGGGAATATTATACTATACACTTGTAACTAATAGTACTGGTGTTTGTTTAGGCCCCGTATTGGGTCTAGCCCTAAGACTCCCTTGAAGTACCTATATAGGAACCCCTATAAGGCCTTAGTGTGTACTGTATAGCTGCCTATCTACGAACCCCTTGAAGGCCTACGTGTTTTCTTTATAGCCACCTATATAGGAACCCCTTCAAGGCCTTAGTGCATACTACATAGCTACATGGACCCTGAGGGTATAGTACACCCCAAAAAGTTGGAAACCGGATTAAGGTTAAACGGTGCTGAGATTCCCTACATCACCCTCAAGGATGGAGGCTTCTGGGTTTCCAACTGCTGGGCTTCTACTATAAGAATGGGGTGTTGGGGTATATTATACTATAATGATAATAATAAGGAGCCCCCAAAATAGTTATTGCTAGTTATATAATATAACATAGTATAATATAATATAGTATAATATAATATAGTATAATATAATATAATATATTATATATTATCAAGGCCCCTAGGCTTAGGTCTTTTCTTGGAGGCTCTGGCAGTCCCATGGCCTCCTCCCGCATCTCGCGGCGAAGGGAGGCCGACAAATCCCGCGCCTCCGAGGACGAGCTTAGCTGCATTGGTTATCAGGGTTTAGGGTTGAGGCTTTTTTGTGGAGGGGAGGGGGTTGGGTTGAGACTTCGGTTGTTGTGTTTTGCTGTCGACAGGCAGGGCGGGGTTTAGGGTTAGGATTTTGGATTCATGCAGGGCTTCAAGGTTTCAAGGGTTGTCCAAAGCATGTTGTCCAGTATTTTTTTACGCGTAGGTATTTAAAATACGTAACAGCATGGATTGTCTAGTTTTTAGACAGGATTGCTTGGGGTTGATGTAAACTCTATCGTGTCTTTAGTCTAAAGGGGTTACGCAGTGATTTCAGTCCGGACTGGGGCTTGGGGCGTCAACGCCCACAAATCCCCGCGGCCCTCACACCTCGCAGAAATCTTGAAAGTGGATATCGCCGGAAACCGTGAACACTTGCACCCCAAATCCTGCCAAACCCAAACCCGTTAGGTTTAGGGTTTAGGGCTAAATAAAACAATGCAATACCCCTGTCAAGGACCGAAGGGGACCCGCGCAACCCGGAAGCAAAGCTGCGGGCTCTCAAACGAGATCTCGGCTCGCCCCCCAAACCCTCTCAACACGGACTGGTATAGGTGACTGTTTAACTCGAACAGGGTTTTGGTGGGGGTATACGATTGTAGCTGATACTTTATCTCGACCATAGGATTCCTGAATAGGAACTGCTCAAACAACTCTATCTGGGACATTTTCAGGTGGGTAGTTACCGTTATAGGAGCCTTCTAGAAGGTTTACATACCTTATGGAAGCCTTCTAGAAGCCCTAGTATATACCCCAAACTCCCCACCTGTAGTTTCCTAAACCCTAAACCCCCAAACCCTAAGCCCTAAACCCCAAGGGTCCCTTTAAGGGAAACTCCCCACCTGTAGTTTCCTTTAACTCTAGTAAGTCGAGGAGCATCGGCGAGCTCTGTAGCCACCCTGTCCCGAGCCGATGCCTCGCCACGCACACGGGCTGCTGGGCTGTCCCCAAACATCTTCGTCATTCTACCTTAAGAACCCCAAACCCACCTTTTTTTTGTAGGTTCTTATTATAAACCCTAACATGGGATTTATAGGGACCCTACCAAAAAAGTAGGTTTTGGGTTCTTAAGGTAGACCCTAAACCCTAAACCCGTATATAAAAAGCACGAAACCCAAAGATCTTCAAAACAACGGCGATTATAAGGGGATCCCGGTTTCCTGCCAAGGGACTCAGTTTAGTGTTTAGAGTTTTAGTGTTTACATATGGCTTTGGGGTTATACTTACTTACTTGTCCCATATCCCATGGGAACTAGAGGATAACCTTTGGGTGTATATGGATTATAGTATCCCGAAAAATTTAAAGGTCACCTAAGTTACCTAAAAAGAGTTACCAAGGCTGTTACAAGGGAGCTGGAAACTTTCACTATGACCTGCTTAGCGCGTCCCATGACCCGCCCTTGACCCCATAAATCTACAACCCTGACCCCCCAACCCTAAACTCTAAACCCCTAAATGCAACACCAGAAAACCACACCAGAAAACCCCAATGCCCTAAACCCCTAATCCGCTAGACCCTAAACCCAAACCCCTAAAGCCCTGAAGCCCTAAACCCTAAACCCCTCAAGCCCTAAACCCAAACCCCTAAACCCCTACAAACCCCTCAAGGCCTAAACCCTAAACCCCTCAAGCCCTAAACCCCTAAAGCCAAAACCCTGAACAGCAAAGCTCCAAACCGTCGGACTTGCAGCCACGGTGCAGCTTCCGCCAACTTCGCCTCAAGCTTATCGTCTTCCACGCACCTCGGGGGGTACTTAGGGTTTAGGGTTGAGGACTTTGGGGTTTTGGGGTTTAGGGTTTAAGGTTTGGGGTTCAGGGTTTAGGGGTTTAGGGTTTAGGGTTGAGGGTTTTGGGTTTTAGGGTTTAGGGTTTGGGGTTTGGGGTTTGGGGTTGAGGATTAGGGTTTGGGGTCTGGGTTTAGGGCTTAGCACATAGGGTTTAGGGAAGGTGCTTGAAGGATCGTGGGATTCAGCTAACAAAACACATAAGAACCCTGTTTGACGCTTCTCTACACATGGCATAACCTCACCTACAACCGACTTACTAAGTCTTACTACGTCCCCTGAACCTTCAGGTACAAATAATATTTAGAGGAGGTTGGGCAAGAGGACAAATTCAGGCTTCGAGTATCGGCGCTTGTGTAGTGGCCTTACTCGTCAAACAGGATTTTGAGAAGGCTTCGTTACAGAGTTCTAGAAGGAATCTATCGTGTATCAGGTGTTGAGGATTCGGTGCATCTATAAGTAAAACCTGGGTCTTGCTGCATCACATCGTGTAAGTGTACAAGTGATACTGATACTTATTCCTTCCTTCATGGATGTGACTTTATTAGCATTCAAGTGCAGGGGTTATTGTTCCCTAAACCCTGAACCGTAAACCCTGAACCCCAAACCCTGAACCCTCAACCCTGAACACTAAACTCTGAACAACAAGACCTTTCTAGGAGGCTTTGGGGATGCGGATTCGTGGGCTTAGGGCTTCGGGCTTGCGACCCGAGAGCAATCTGATACAAAACCCTAAACCCAAAGGCCCTAAGACCCTAAGTGGGGTTTAGGGTTTAGGGCCTCCCAACCCTTGACCTCTGACATCCAAAAGAAGATAGTTTAACATCTGCAAAACAACGCATGCCCCAGATAGATGCTAGGATTTCGGATCTCAGTCCTGAGCCCTGTACTGCGAAGCTGTCATACTTCACCCTGATATCGTATGCTATACAGACAACACTCTCCTAAACCCTAAACCCTAAATCCTAAACCCTAAACCCCAAACCCTAGACCCTGAACCCTAGAAAAAATAGTGGCAAACCTGAAACCCCTCAAGCGCCTTTCGACGGATGCTGCTGTGGCGATCTTCGCCTCAGCCAGCGCCAGTCGACTGTCCGCAGATTCCCTGGCTCTGACAGGGCGTGTGTTTAAGGTGCAGGGTGTAGGTTCAGGCTTTAGACGTGGAGCCTTAAGAAAAAAGGAACAAAAAGGCTCAAACAATTAGCTAACTCAAACCCTATACCCTCAACCCTAAACCCCTGAACCCTAAACTGCCCAAAAGCCTCGCAGCCGCAGCGCTCTGGAGCTGCGCTGCCAGCGCCGCTTCCTGGCGCTCGGCAGCGGCCAGCCTCCGCCTGGGCAAGCTTCCGATACCGAGCTAGGGTTTAGGGTTTAGGGTTTATGGTCTAGGGTTTAGGGTTAGGGGTGGTGTGTATATAATTATGTGGGTAGTTTTCTAAATTAGGGTCCCTTTGGGGGTCCTGTTTATAAGGGTGCCGTACTATAATAAGGACCCAAAAGGGACCATAATTTTGACAACCACCCGTATGCATGTGGTACCCTAGAATCCGCATGTCCCGAACAGAATATACTGACCCTCTCGGCCTCGAAATCCGGCCCTGAGCCCTAAACCCATACTTGGAGGTTCATGGGTAGTTATAAGTGGGGTTATAAGTAGGGTAACTATAATTATAACCCATATTAGGGGACGTATAACCCCATTTATAACTACCCATGAACCTCCAAGTACCTAAGGTGCGGAGACCCCCAGCTGGAAGCCCGGTGGCCGCAACCAGGCGGGAGGTTCACGAGAGTTAATGTCTAGGATTTGTGCTCCTTGGAGTCTGAGGTTTAGGACCCTAAACCCTAAAAACCCTAAAACCCTAAAGGGCTACGACCCCAAAGCCAAAGCCTGAGTCTGAGGTTTAGGGTGTTCAAGGGCTACGACCCCAAACCCTGATGATTGGAAGCCGAAGGGGGCTCTCGATATTGTAGGAGAAGGGAATACCTACTACGACCCATCTTTCTGAGGGAACCCTCATCATCCCTACTAACAACAACAAGTGCTGTTGCATTCCTATGCTCGAAGTGCGACTCGAAGCCTCAACAACCTACATGTTTACCTTTTCGAAAGTAAGGAAGTCATAGCAAGCCCTAATATATGTAGGTTTCCGAGATTTTGAACCTTTTCGTCTTCCAGAAAGCAGGGGCAGGTGTGTCAGCTAACAACTAGGGACGTCCTCAAAGTTGCATTGGGTCTTTATAGCGATCTCTTCCGCCAGGTAACCGAACTAGATTATATTATAATATATTCAATCTTGATTTCGGGGCGCAGGGCGGGAGCAAAGACGTGGTCGGTATCTTCAAACTGCCTGCAAAGCTGGAGTGGAAGTCTGTCTGTCTGAAACTCCTTTCAAATGGATCCATAGGGGTTCGTACCCAGAGAGCCCAATACCACTGAATTAAGGAATATACGTTAAAGAATAGGGGCCTTCATATTATGATTTAAGGTATCTTCCTTAATTAAGTATAAGGGCTTCGTTTAAAGGATCCCTTTGAGGTTTTTGGTTGATTGGGGCGTCGGACGTCCGAAGAGTACTGAAGTCAGGGGCTTAGTGAGTGGGCCGTTCGTAGAGATACAGGTAGAAAGAAGGTGCAGTACTTATAACTACCCTAAACCCTACTAAACCCTGAACCCTAAACCCTGAACCCTAAACCCTAAACCCTAAACCCTAAACCCTGAACCCACTTATAACCATGTGTACGACCTATGCACGAAGTGCCGTTATCTTTCAGGAAGGATAATCCAGGAACCCTAGACCCTAAGCCCGGAAGCCCATATGGTTGCATGGACTCGTAGGGCTTTATCAAACCCACAGCCTCACCCCTATACCCGAAAGAGACACCGAAGCATAAACCCAATTAAAGCCCCAAGCCCGAAACCCCCAAAACCCTAAACCTTTTGAACCCTACCTTAAACGCCAAGTAGCCTGTGTCTTGAAGGACTTATACAAAGGCATCATAATTAATAAGAGGAGCCCTAAAGAGGTAGGCTCTTTAGAGCTCAACATTGGGGACGGTGCTCGGCATAAGCGGCAGCTGCTGCGAGCGCCTGGCTTTCAGTTCTACCTCTATAGCAGAACTTAGGGTTTAGTTTAGGGTTTAGGGTTCAGGGTTCGTATCCCATGTAGGCACTTAGGACCGTTTTTCTACAGGGCTTGATATCGGGTCCTTGGCAATGGGAATAAGGCTTCGGGGTATCAGACAGCATAAATATATGGGAACAGGGCTTCGGGGAACCATGCAGCATAGTTACATAGAGATCGGGATTTGTGTTATCATACAACATAAATAAGGAATAGGGCTTCGGCTTCGGGGTATCATACAGCATAAGTATACAGCGGGTATATACCAGAGACCCCTACACCATCTCTCACGTGCGCGGATCTTGAGCCTCAGGGATAGTCTGACTGCGACGTTTTGCGCTCAGGCAGCTCCCAAAAATAAGCTCTCGGACAGAGGTTTCGTGATTATTTTATTATTGAGGCCCCTATATTAAACTTATGCTATGCGCATACTACAACATAACCCCCCCCCACCTTTTCTACTTAGTACGGCGCCTAGACCCCATCCCTGTAGAACCGATGTGACCCTCAAAACAAATTGTCTGAACCCGAATGAAAGCCTGTTATGAGTGCTCCACAACACAAAACCCGCGTCAACACTATGGGTTTGACTGGAACCTCGTCGTGTCGGCTACGCTCTGCCGCTGCCAGCGACTTAACCTTGAGCCCATTGACGGGTGGGTTGTGGGTTTCAAATTTCCGGATGTGGATGTACGCCTTTAGGGCTTCGAAGAGCATTTGATGTAGGATTTTGGGATTCGACGTTTTAAGGTCTGCAGGGATTCCTTCCAGGGTTCTGTGAGGGTCCTGTAGGGGTTTGGGGTTTTGGGCAACTACAGCTATGCACACCCCTGGATTGTTGTGGTCCTCGAAGACAGGGTGGGGTCAGTAGCTCGGTTCCTGCCTAAAGTGGTGGATGATGAACAATAAAAAGGGCAACACACCCTATTGCTGATCCAGGCATGACCTGGAGATCACGGTGTAGGGTCGAACTAGTGGCAGTGTATAGCACTCTGAAGCAGAACAGGAAGAATACGAGTAAGTTCACCCTCATTCAATTCCATGCCGAGCAGCATGCTCCAGCTCCTTGGACACGTCGGCAAGTCTGTCAAATGCCTCCTTGGCTTCAACATGGGTTTTTGCGTGGTTTCAGATAGGGAAATGAGTCTAAGGGACCTTATGTAAGGGACTACTGTTTATGATATAAACCCCAAGCCGAAAAGCAAAAGGCCCACAAACCCAACACCCTAATAGTAAACCCCAAACAATAAACCCAGAACCCTAAACCGCAGACTCTAAACCGCAAACCCTAAACCCTGAACCGAAACCCTAAACCCTGAACCGAAACCCTAAACCCTAAACCCTAAGCCCTGAACCCTAGAAACGACTAAGCCCCCTGAGCCCGCTGCGACAGCACGCCACTCCTGCTTTGCTGCTGCCTCCACATCGGCCCTTGACCTCTATGAGTTTAGTTCTGGGGTTTAGGGTTTTGAAGATTTGATAGAGTTTACATAGTTTGATTGGGGTTTGCCTAGTTTTTTTTGGAAGGCTTGTCTGTGAGTTGTCTTCGCGGCGCGTTTCTGGGACGTGCTCGTGGGTTTTGGAGTTTCAGGGTTCAGAATCCGAGAACTTTGGATTATGGAGCTTTAGGATTTTGAGGAGTTTGACTTAAGGGGACTGGAGGATGATGGGTGACGCCAGTGCCACCCACGGCAGACCCTAAACTCTATTGCAAAGCCTCAACCCAAAGCCCTACTCTAAACCCTACACCATCCTAAACTTTAAAGGATGTGGCGGGTTTGGGGTGTGGGGCTTAGGCCTTAGGGGTTTAGGGCCTGTTTAGGGTTTGACTTCAAATTCTAGGGTTTAGGGGTTGAGGGCTTGGGGTTTAGAGGGCTAGGAGGGGCAGAACATCAGCTCCTGGTCGATCGAAAAAGCGGGGTGGCGAAAGGTGTGCGCAAGGTGCAGATGAAGCCCCCAAACTTTACGGTTTAGAGTTTAGGGCTCAGGGCTTAGAGGTAAAACTACGGTTGATGATATGAATCTTGCATTATCCATAGTAAGGAATATACCATCACTCCCCTAGTTTAGGGTCCTTGAGGTAATGCAGGGTTTATATCATCACCAGTACGGCTCAGGAGTCAAGGGATTTAGAATGCATAGGGATTCAGGCTCAGAGCACTTAGGCTTTAGGGTCTCTACGACTCAGCGTCAAGGGATGCTAGTGCAGGGGGCCTACCATTCAATATAGATCAGATAGAAGTAAGGGAGTTTAGGGTTTAGGGTTTCGAGAACCTACCATTCCATCTAGATAGAATCAGATAGAAGTAAGGAGTATACTTCGTACGAATTTTACCTCTCTGCCCCTGCAGAATCATCCTGCAAGATGCCCCAAAACTTGTGCTGCCTTATCACGGCCTCTATACTATTGATGATATGAATCCTTAGGAATTATGGTATGTTCCTGATTATGGGTAATGCAGGATGCATATCATCCACTGTATCATTCTTACTTGTCCAGTATCCTAGCTACAGGCTAATCTTTGGGATTATATATGGGGACTTATAAGTATCCCGAAAAGCTTCAAGGTTAGCGACTCTACTACTCTGACACAAAGTAGTGTTGCGGGTTCGGACTACCGTTGGTTCAGGGTTCCAAGACTTTAGGGTTTAGGGTTCAGGGTTCAGGGTTTAGGGTTCAGGGTTTAGGATTTAGGGGTTTAAAAGGGTTTAGGGTTTCAGGATTGCAGACCAAAGCTAGGGTTTAGCTTCTAGGATTGGTGTGCGCAACCCTTTCTATGTGCTTACCAAAACACCAGAGTCACACACACAACTTCGGCTACAAGCGTTGGCCTCAGAACTGAATCTTACGAAAAGTTACGTATTGAAATTCGGGACTCAAAGCCCTAGACCCAAAATCGCGTTTGAGCAAAAGTCTGGGATTCCATGCAACCCTGACGACTATGGCTAGGAAACCCTAGACCCTCAACCCTAAACCCGGCAACCCCTATACGCTCTAACTAAACCTTTCGGGCGGCACTAAAGCCCTAACCCCCTAAACCCTAATCCCTAAACCCCTGACCCCCAAACGCCGAAACCCTAAACCCCTAAACCCGAAAAATCCCAAAAACCTTTAAAGAAACCTCTCCCTTTACAGCCGTAACATCCTAAGATCCTCAAAGCGATAAAATGAAAGAGCACTACAGCCCTAAACTCCTAAAGCTCCCTAGACCCTAAGGCCTGGAAGCCCTTAAAGCCCTAAAAGGCCCTACAAGTCTCTAGCCCTCTAATGTCCTGACATCCTCAAACCCTAAAGCCCTAAGCCCCAAACCCTAAAACCCTACAGCCCCCCACACCATGCTGCACCTGCATTGCGTTCATGGCATGGTACGTCTGCGCCAGGTGAACACGGTGTTGTTTCCCCTGCGATGTCGTAGCCTTGGGCCCACCCCGATTTTGTGAAAGAAACATAGCCCAAGCCGCCGCACCTCGACGCAAGTCCTACCAGTGAGGGAAATGCGGACTGACGCGGGGTTTGCTTTCTGACGACAGCGGCCAGGTTCTCAAAGCCACGACGGGGCGAACAACTGTGTCGCAAGGTTCTGGAAACAAAGGCCGCACTGGCTGCTGCCAAGCCTTGTCGATGGCTTTGAATGCTCTTGGACTCGATATGTCGCCTGTTGCTGGCATGCTGACATCTGGCAACCTTGGCAATGGCCTGCAACAAGCTCTGGGCCTCTGCACTGGCCAACCGGTCCTCTGTTCTGAAGTCCTTGAGAAACCACCTGGAAAAATCATCCAATCGACATGATTGGGTGGTAAAGTAGATCATAAAGGATTTCTTTTACCAGGCGCATACAGTCTGCAGCTGCGGCAGTTGTGAGGGCAAAAAGCTTACGAGCAGTCAGTTTGAACACAAAGGCATTGTGCCGCTTCGTCAGACACGCAAAAGGTCGAAGGGCTCAAACCCTCAGGGCCCGAGTACCTAATACTAATATACCCTCCCAAATAGTAACCTACATACCTACTATCTGAAACCCTAAACCCTAAACCCTAATTTCCCTAAACCCTCATTCCCTAATTCCCTAAACCCTATACCCTAAACCCTAAACCCTGGTTCCCTAAACCCTATTTCTCTAAACCCTAATCCCCCCTATAAATTATTGGATCCTCGGGACCCTGAAGGAACAGCAATTATTGGGCTCTGGGCAACCCTAAACCCTAAACCCTAGACCCTAAACCCTAAACCCGAAACCCTAAACCCTAAACCCTGAACCCTAAACCCTAAACCCTAAACCCTACACCCTAAACCCTAATCCCTCAACCCTAAAACCTAAACCCTAAACCCTATACCCTAAACCCTAAACCCAATACCCTGAAGGAACAGCTGAGGGCGCAGCTGGACCAAGGCTTCCCGAGCCTCTGCGATTTCTGCAGCAGCCGGAGGGCCCTGCTACCACTGGGTTTAGGGTTTAGGGGTTTGAGGGTTTAGGGTTTAGGGTTTGAGGCTTTGGGTTTAGGATTTAGGGTTTGAGGCTTTGGGTTTCGGGTTTACAGGATTTACGGTTTAGGGTTTAGGGTTTTGGGGGTTTGGGTTTAGGATTTAACAGATTTAGGGTTTTGGGTTTGAGGATTTAAGGTTTAGGGTTTAGGGGTTTGGGTTTAGGACTTAAAGGATTTAGGGTTTTGGGTCTCAGGATTTAGGGTTTAGGGGTTTGAGGGTTTGGGGTTTAAGGGTTTGAGGCTTTGGGGTTTAGGGGTTTGAGGCTTTGGGTTTAGGGCTTAGGGGTTTGAGGCTTTGGGTTTAAGGTTTAGGGGTTTGAGTTGAGGGTTTAGGGGTTAGGGGTTTAGGGTTTAGGGTAAGAGTTCTTCAAGAGCAAACAAGGGGTTGGGGTTCAATATAAGGGCCTTAATAATTAGAACAGTTATAATTGTAGTATAATACACCCGCCAAAACCCCATTCTAATTATTACGGCCCCTTGTTTTGGGCTTTAGGGTTCAGGATGCAGGGCTTCGGGCGTCGATGATGGCGAAGGCGCAGCTGCAATACCAACCCAGCTGTCTGAAGACGTGATGTGGGTAGTTCTCTGAACTGGGGGTTCCCTTTTTGGGCCCCTTTAAGGGATCTATAAATGTTTCTATAAGGCTTCTATAAGGGTCAATACGGGTACTGCTGGGGCTCTTTATGGGTAGTTCTCCGAATTCGGGTCCCTCTTGGGGTTCTTTTTTATAAGGGTGCCGTACTCTACTTGGGACCTAAAACGGGGTCTAATTTAGAGAACTACCCATGTGGGGGCCCACCGCACCCCAAAGCCGAAGCCCGAAGCAGCCCCTCACCGAACCACATAAACCCAAAAGCGGCAAGAAGGGGTCCAAAACTGAAACCCACTAAGCCCCGAAGTTTAGGACTTAGGGTTTAGGCCACAAGCTGCAAACCCTAAACCCTGAACCCTAAACCCTAAATAGAAAAAACCCAAACCAAAAACCTTTCCACAGCTCGGCTCGCTCCTCTGTGTGCTTCGCCTGAGCTTGATGCACACTCACCTTCCAGGGCACCAGGTTGGGATTCAGGGTGCGCAGCTTTAGGGCTTCAGGGCTTATAGGGCTATAGGGTTTGTAGGGTTGAGTCCACCCGATAATGAGGTACTCGGACTTGGGAAAGTTGTGTTAGCATTTGGGGAAGTGAGCAGTATTAATTCGTATTAGGTGGTACTGAAAACAACTCCATTATTTTATTCTTGTTGTTCTGCTTCTTACGACTACGATTAGTCTTACTATGGTTACTACGACGACGACGGCGACGACGGCGACGACTACGAATACTACTATGACGAGAACCACTACAACTGCTACTGCTACTGCTACTCCTAAATCCTCAGCTCTAAGCCCCGAAACTCCTCATCCCCTATCTAAACCCTGAACCCTCAACTCCCAAACTCCTAAACTCCTAAATCCCCAATCCCTAAGGCACTTAACCCTTAACCCTAAACCCTAAACCCGGGACTCCCAAACTCCTAAACCCCTAATTAAGCCCTCCTAAACCCCTAAACTCCTAAACCCTTAAACTCCTAAGTGGCCTCGCTCGTCATGGTTGCAAGCTCCAGCCGTGTCTCCTGGAGCTGCGCCGAGAGCATCGAGTCCTTCGGCTTCTTGGGTTTAGGGCTGTTTTTGTGTTTGAGGGTTTAGGGGTCTAGGGTTTAGCGTTGAGGGTTTAGCGCTTCGGGTGTATACGGTTTAGGGTTGAGGAGTGAGGTTTTGTTCTGAGGCTTGAGGGTTTGAGGAGTTAGGGGTGCGGTTTAGGGTTTTCAGGGTTCTTGGGCTCCTGTAAAGTGTCCTTTAGTTAGGGGCTCTACAAACCTTAAGCCCTAAACCCCTTTAGTAGGGCGCTCGATGAGAGGTTGATGCGTTTAGGGCTTTGGATCTTTGGGACGATCTTACATCAAAGGCTGCAAAGCTC